GTTTCTCTAATATCTTCCGTGCTTTTTTCAAGCCCACTTAGTATCTGAAAATCGTCATTCTGAACTCTAGATCCGACATCTTACTAATGTCTGTATTGATTAGGTCCCTGGCAGTTGGTACTGCCTCTTGTTCTTTTTTTTTTTGAGGTGATTTTTTCTGTCTTGTCGTTTTGTCCATAGGAGAATAGATGAATGAGAGAACAAAATGCTAACAGGGTAACAACGACTTGAGAAAAATATACACTAAACAAATCAGAAGAGACCTGAAACTGGGGGAAAAGAAAGGGTAAGAAAGAAAATAGAAAAAAAAAAAAGAAAGGTAAACAAACAAAAACCAGAATATGATCAAATATGATCAGGCTGGTGCATAGATCAGTGCCACACACTAGATTTGGGGTGTATATTGGTCTGTTAGAAGATAGTGCTTCCCAAAATTTTAAAGAAAGAAAAGCTTATATATGTATAAAAATAAGGGTAAATACAATGAATGGATGGAATATGACTGTAAAGATGAAAATTATAAAAGATTTTATAGAAGGAATTGATAAGGTAAGAAGTTGGTTGAAAAAAGAAAGAACAGGATTTAAAAAAAAGAAAAGGGAGATAATGTGATCAGGCAGGAGACTAGAACAAAGCCATACACTAGAGATTCAGTGTATATTTTGGTCTGTTAGAAGAAACTGTATCCCAAAATTTTAAAGAGAGAACAACTTATATATATAGCAAAAGTAAGGTTAACTACTATGAAGGGATAGAATATGACTCTAAAAATGAAAAATAAAGATTTTTTAAAAAGGAGTTGATGTTTGTTGAAAAGGGGTAAAAGAAAAATTCAAAGAAAAAAAAAGAAAATTAAAAAAAGTAACTTTGAAAGACTAAAAAATCATGGGGCAAAAAAACCATGAATTCTATGTGCAGTATTCCCCCAGCGCTGGAGTTCTCCTGTTCTCATTGATCCATAAACTTGGTCTTGGCTGGTTGTTCTTGCTGATCTTCTGGGGGATGGGCCTGTTGCTGTGGTTGCCAGATGTCTTTGCTGGAGGCGGAATTGCCCCTCCCTTGCCGGTCCGGGCTAAGTAATCAGCTCCGGTTTGCTCTCTGGAGCTTTTGTTCCCTGCAAGCTTTCTGTACAGCTTTGGAAGACGAGTGGGGGTATAGCTCAGTGGTAGAGCATTTGACTGCAGCTTTGGAAGATGAGACTGAAAATGGCGGCCTCCCAATCTCCGCCCCAGAGGAGGTGAGAACTCCCCACTGCTCAGTGAGTACCCAGAGAAAAGCAGTCAGTCACTCCCGTCTCTGGGGTCTCCGGCCGCAGGTGTTTCTGTCTCTGGCACATGACCCGTGTGGAGTCTCCAAACCCAGCAGATCCCTGCGGTGCGCTCCCGCGCCGCTCCTCCCAGTGGAGGAAGGGGAGTCTCCCTGGATCTGCCGCTTGTTGGGTCCCTGCTGGAAGAGCAGTGGCCCGACTGTGCCGTGGATCACGGTTTATGGCAACCCCGAGCTGAGAGCCCGCTCCTCAGCTCCGTCTCTGCAGCCGGCTTCCCCGCTGCCATACCTGGGAGCTCTGCCGCACTCAGGCACCCCCGGTCTTTCTGTGACCTCGAGGGTCCTGAGACCACACTGTCTCCGTGAGGCTTTCACCCCCCACTTAGCCACTGGAACGATGTCCCTCAGCCAAGCCGACTTCTAAAAGTTCCGATTTTGTTCTCCGGGGCTCTATCACTTGCCAGAAGCGGCCCTCAGTGGGCCCCCCTCCCCCGCCGTCTATCCTCCTGAATCGCCTCGGATTCACTTCTCCGCACGTCCTACCTTCCAGAAAGTGGTCGTTTTTCTGTTCAGAGAGTTGTTGCTATTCTTTTCTTTGATCTCCTGCTGAGTTCGTAGGTGTTCAGAATGGTTTGATCCCTATCCAGCTGAATTCCTGGGACCAGACAAAATCCAGGTCTCCTACTCCTCCGCTGTCTTGCTCCTCTCCCCTCCATGACTTTCCATTACAGTTAAAATAATTTTTTTTTTTAAATTTAGCATGGCCTTACAGAATCCTTTGTAATCTAGATTATACCTAGCTCTCTAACCTCATCCTCTATCATTCACTTCCCCTTCCTGAGCTCTAGTCACACCCTCTACAGGGTCATTGCATTTGTTGTTTCCTCTACTGGGAATTCTCTTTTTCCAGATCTATTCATCAGTATTCATCTCTTAATGTAGATTTCTGCGCAGATTGTGTCATTTCAGAAACAGTTTCTCTGAATGTTATACATAAAGAGCTTTTCTTTTAACTTCTGTCACTAGTACTCAATATTCTATTTCTCTAGTAAATTTTCTTCATAACAATTATTTAAAATGGTCTTATTTAGTATAGGAGTCTAGGTCAGGTTCAATACTGTATTTCCCAGAGCATAATAGGCTCTTAATATTTGGAAATGAATGACTGTTTAGTTACTGTATCCATATTTTGTCCTTGATTCTCACTTCTAGCTACAAGAGAATCTGTTCGTGGTATTTGCCTGCCTGTCATATTTTCAAAGACAATGTAAAAATAGCACCAAACAATTAAAGAACTTTAAGCAAGGTAGTAATGTCTTAATATCTCTTTTAATGTTTTCTCAAGACAGATAACTAATAATGGCATATTGAATTGGCAGTATGCAAGTGGATATAAAATAAGAGAAAAACTTATATTTTTACTTCCTCCTAAAAGTAGAAGAGACCCTGGAGAATGGTTTAGAGTTCTCTTAGGAATAACCCGTTAACTTTGCTACTTGAAAAATTAGACTTCCAGTTCCAACCATGGAATACCTTACATCAGACCAATCCTCCCACCAAAACCAATCACAAAAGCTAGACAAAATGGTTTGAGGACCTTGGAGAGCAACTCAGATAGGACTTCCTAGGAGAAAGTTATCTCCATATAAACATTGGCCTTTTCCCTGAGGGCATGTTCTAAATCCTGGTGGAGGCATAAAGGCCAAGCCTGAAGAGGTGGTCACTTGAGTCAGAGGACACTATGGTCAGGTCTTAGAGTTGCCAGAGTGGCTGAGGCATGAGGGACAAAAATCTCAAGACAGGAGGAAATTGCAGAGGAAAAGCCCAATAATTTATGTACAAATTTCCCTCAAGTTGTTGATTGATTCTGCAATTTTACATGCATGGGCAAAAGTCAAGGAAACCCAGCAGAAAACAGCAGATGGAGGCTCAAGGGCAAAGAAAAAAATTTAACAGCCACATGGTACTGGGGAGGCAGAAATTAGTGTTTAAGGCTGCCAAGGTGAAAGGCCCTTGGTACATGTCAGGCTTCCAGCTCAGATCCCAGAAGGCACTCCCTAGAAGTAGTGCTAAAATGGAAATAGACTACCCTTAGCAAAGCCTGAACCCTTAGTAGTCTGCCTGTACTCAACCTGTGTTTCAGAAGAAACTTAACCTTTAGAAAGAATGTAATGCTCAAAGGGTCTATGCTTTTTCATTTATATAGTCTAGCTTCCAATAAATTATGAGACAGGCAGACTGAAAAAAGGTAGGAAGATACCCAAGAGATATATCTACACAAAAGAAATGTACATAAGATTATTCACTGTGAAAGTTGTTATTAATAGCAAAATATTAGAAAAATGCTAAAGGACCACTAACAGAGGAATGAGAATTATGTTGGTTCATAATTTACTTAATTTTTTACACAGGTCCTATCAGCATGTGGGGCCGGAGGGTTCTTTATTGTATGACACTGTGCTGACCATTATTGGGCATGTTACATCTTTGGCCCTAGCACAGTAAATGCTAATTGCACCTTCAAGGTTTGCTACAACTTGGAATGCTCTCACACATTTTCATATGCCTCTGGGGTGGGGCATTCCAATTGAAAATCATTAATATCATGGAATTTTGTGCTGCTGTAAAAAGGAAAATTGTTTATGAACTGATACAGAAAGTCCACCGCAGTGCATCTTAAGAGTAAAAGGCAAGATAACGAGCTGTATGTGTACTTTGCTATATTTTGTTTAATAAAGGAAGAAAATAATATATATATTTGGATTGCTTATATGTGCATAAAATTTCTGTAATAGTACATAAGAAACTAATGAAAGTGATTATCTATGGGGCCTGGTGGGCTGAAGAGAGATGAGATTTCTGGGGTGAAATATATTTACTGTATACTTTTCTATGTTGTTTTGATTTTTAAAACTACCTATTCAAAAAATTTTTAAATAATAAACAGATATAAATAAGCTATTGTGTAAAATATAATTTTTAAGAGAATGAAAGTTTATGTATTCATTAAAAAATGTTTTGGTCTTTTTCCAATTCTGTCTCTTTTTACCTTTGCTTTCATTCAGTGGAGTAGGGCGAAACTGGGGCTGGGCATCTGCAGGTAGCAGCATTCTTGCTGAATTTGGTACGCTGCATATGGAGTTTGTCCACCTCAGCTACTTGACAGGGGACCCAGTTTACTACAAAAAGGTTAGTTTTCTTGACTTCTTTTCTTCGTTTATTATAGAAGAGTTCTTTAAGATTTACCAAAGGACTTGATTAATGCTTGGAAAATGTTCACCTTTCTAGAAATGTATTTATCAGGACTCTGGCCCTTTTATTCTTTTTAAATTAAATAAATATCCTTTCTATTTAAAATATTTACTGTTATTTGAGAAGTTATAAACATTCGTAGGTTTTCAGAAATTCTATTCTATTCAGAATTGTGCTGCAGTGTTCCTAGCCAGCATGGTAAGACAAGAAAAACAACATGAACAAAAAGTTAAAGAATTGAATTGGATTGAAAAGGATGAATGAAAAGAGTAATTATGCACAGATTACATGATTATTTACCTAAAATATTAAGACAATTTGTATTTAAATTATTAGAAATAAGAGCATATATATAGTTTAGAACAGAAAATCAATATAGATATGAAACATCAACAGCATTTCTCTGCACCAACTACAACCAGCAAGAAAGTATCACTTTCCAAAAACATACGTGGTAGGAACAGGAGTTTAAGTTTCCTACAAATAAACCTAACAAAAGATAAATGAAGTTCAAAACAGTTAAATGACACTGAAGAGGAGAGAGGTATGTTATGTTCATGTAGAGCTAAAGAATATCATAAAAATTTTAGTCTTCTCTAGATAGATCTGTAGCATCAGTTCAATGCCAGTCAAAACTCCAGTGGCTTCTTTTACAAAAATGAAACTTGATAAGACCCTTGTAGAATTTATATAGAAGAGAAAAATTCAAGGCACTCCTGAAGAAAAACATGTGGGGTGGGTTTGTATTACCCAGTTTTCGACGCTCACAGTGAAGTATTGGTGCATAAGACAAATAGACTGATGAACAGAATAAACATTCCTTAAATAGATCCATGTGGAAACATTATGCAAGGGTAGCATTGTAGATTATAACGATTCTAGGAGCATTAAAGGCTTATATTTAAAAGACAAATGTAGTAAAGTTTAAAATACATATACCCAGTGGCCCAGCAGTTCCATGTGCATTTATGATGTGCATTTACATCATATACATGGAAGCATTGTTTGTGTTAGCATTTTATATAATAAAATTTAATACAGCAGTAAAAAATAAAGGAATTACAGTTACATTTATCAGTTAAAATAATACAACACCGGGTGCCTGGGTGGCTCAGTCGGTTGAGCATCCTACTCTTGATTTCAGCTCAGGTCATGATCTCAGGGTTATGAGATTGAGCCCCAAGTTGGGCTCTGCACTGGATGTGGGAGCCTGCTTGAGATTCTCTCTCCCTCTCTATCTGGCCCTCCTCCCACCTTTAAAAAAAAAAAAAAGATACAACTTTTTAAAAAAATTTAACACAAGCAGAACTGAGTAATATACTTTGTTTAGAGATTCAGAAGTGATTTCAGTAGAGTTAAGACAATGGTGAACATAAAATTCAGGACTGTGCATATAGCCATTACAAAGACAGTGATGTGTGAATGCATAAGGAGAGCGGCGAAGGTGTTTGTAGTGCTGTATTTCTTAAATTAATTTATATATATAGTCCTTTATATGTATGAACTGTTTCATCAATTGAGAAGAATTTTCAGGTAAAGACAGCAGTGGAGCCAGACCACAGAATTTTTCCTTTCCTGAAGAGATGAACAATAACAACAAAAGTAGTAAATAAAGACCAGCAAAAATTTATCAACAGCAATGAAATGAGGAAAGGCTGCAATCTCATGTCACTAGCAAGTGACAGCCAAAAAAAAGAAGTAAAAAACTTCTGGTATGGTTCTTAAGTCTGTTTCTCACCTTGTCCTGAGTCCTTACTGGGCAAAGAAAGCCAGTCAACAAATTCCTAGTACTCCCCATTAATCTCACAGAAGAGACCAGTGCTAGGGGTGTTGAGTATACAACTGTCCATAGCTCTAGAGGGGGTTCCCTCCTCTATCCTTCTTGAACACTAGTACTCCAGATCTCACATTGTGTTCAGCGGGGAGGAAAAACCCCCACTCCCCAGATGCACAGTAGGAAGGAATTCAGGGACAAGTCAGCTCTGCCATATCAAATCAAAGTCCAGGTCAGAACTGACCCTGTTCATTGGGAGCAAGATGAAAAGGAAAAGCATGGCAGGTATGCAAACAATACTGCAGCGTGGTGGAAAAAAAGCATGGTGGTAAATAGCATGTAAAAGACTGATAAAGGACCCTGTTTAAAATTTTATAAAGTCACCGTAATTTATACAATAATAGCAATTGAACTCAGTAAAATTAGAACTCAAAACAAACCATAAAATGATACAAAAAGATTGTGGAACTGAAGAAACAAATTGAGACCTTAAACGTTATATTTCTGTCATGGATAAATAAATGAAAAACAGCAAATGTGACTGTACATAATTGAAAACCAATTTACTGACATGGAATAAAAGCAAGAGACAATCATAGTGGAAACAAAGAAAAAGCATAAAGAGTTTAAAAGGGTGATAAATTTGCAAAATGAAGATCATCTAGCACAGTATTTCTGAAGTGGAGGACCTAACACACAGGACCTTCCCTGAAAGGAAGGAGAAACAGAACTGTAAACTCCATTTTTAACAAAATTAAAGAGATACATGATATACCACATCACAAAATAGCAAGAAAGGTTGGCATAAGCCATCAAGGGCAGAGAGGTTTGGGAAACGAGAGGATATTTGTGGTTGCAGATTTCAAAAATAAAAAGGCAGTAGACTACAGTTCTCTGAAATCAGTGGTATGTCTTGAGGTACAAAACCAAAGTCCTCATGAGCAACATTGAGCACAGGGTCATAGGTTGATGGTGGGTGCTTCTTTGGACTCCACTAAACCCGGTATATTGAGAAGCTGGAATAACAGAATTCTGAGGAAATTCTGGTGAGGGAAGAGAATGAATGACAGATTTTCTTTTATGAGCAGTGCTGCATGGCTAGTGTCAATTATCTGGGGAGAAGCAAAGGCATCTAGACTCTCCCTGGCCTTTTATGTCAAAACTCGTGTGTGAATAGTTGGTTCAGGGAAAATAGTAGTGAGTAATTGATCAAAGAAGGACAAGCGTACAATTTATAAGATATTATCAGAAAAAAAAGAGGGAAGGAACATCATATACAAGTGATAACCAAAAGATACCTCTCAGAAAATAGCAGTTAAATCCTGACCAAACATCACCATGAAAGGGAAGATGATGGAGCCCTCCTCTCTGTAAATCAGGTATATCAACAGAAATACAAGTGCTCAGAGACGGTAAGATATGCTATCAGTAACAAATTACAAGAAAAAGTTATCACCAAAAATGAAGGCCAAATTGGAAGCATTACAAAGGAAGTGTTGAAAGTATAGTGATGGACTTAGAAGACAAAATTGAGAAAAGCTAGTAAAGGTATAGACATTAGAAAAGAGATGGATAAAAAGATTCTGAGAGGAAAGATAGCTGTGGAAGAGGCAGAGAGGATTCAATGTGTGCATAATTTTTAGAAGACAAAGGAATGCAGTTTTTCATTTTTCTTAACAGCATCATTTCAAACTGACTAGCCTTGATTCATGGAATTATTCAGATTGAGATTGTCATACATAGAGCTGGTCTCAGCCTTTAAAGACCAGAAGGAACACAGCATCCCTGAGCCCATTCCTAAAACCGCCTGATTTCAAAGTCCAGCCAAAGGAAAGATGACTGGGACCTTGTCGTCAGAGGATGCGTGCTGTGCTCAAGCCCAGAAAATAGTGAAGTAGATGTTTCCCCAAGTCATGTATACCAAGCAGGTTATCCTTCATATGTAAAGAGAACATTCTCAAATAAGAATACCAGGAATAGAATACATTTGTGCCTTTTTTTGTAAGCACGGACAAAACCCATCCAATCTATAGATGAATGCAGATAAAGTCCTTGGAAAAGTTTCCGGCTTTTTAGTATATTTTGATTTTTTTTCCTTCTTAGTGTTAGGGAGATCTTTTAGGGATCAGAATTTTTGGAATTTTAGGAATTTAGGGATATCTGTTGTGGAATCAATATTTAGAGTTCAGCAATTCAGTTTTTCATCTATTAAATTCAAATTTATTGTAAATGTCCTTTTATGTTTCCATTTCTATGAAATTATTTCTGTTCTTATATTTAGATGTGTACATAGTGAATATGTCTGGAATGATGTTTATCACTGATGTTTCTGATGGCTGTTTCTGGATAGTAAAATGTTGGCATTTAAATTCGTTTTTCTCGTGCTCTTTTCTTCATGTTTTTAATTGTTTGATCTTTATTTAATGATCGTATATAATCTTATAAAAATAATGAATCAATTATAAAGTAGAAGCCTTTCCTGACCACCACACACGCAGAAAAAGGCAGGGGGGAGATGGTGTAGGTTCTGAGTGAGGAAAACCCACAAAGCCTAGATTAATATAAAGCCTTGATGACATTTATTTTATTAATTGCATTCTTTATTTGTGTTAAGGTAATGCACATTCGGAAACTCCTTCAGAAGATGGATCGTCCAAATGGTCTTTACCCAAATTATTTGAACCCAAGAACAGGTCGCTGGGGTCAGTGTAAGTATTTCTAGTACAGCTGATGCTATGTTAAAAGATTATTTGTCTGAAAACTTGCTTGATGTGGTGAAAAGTACACTACATGTAGGGTTAGAATCCCTCAGCATTGACCCTTGTGATCTGTTACTGCTGTTACCTTTGACAAATTTCTCATCTTTTGGTAGCTTTGGTTTTCCTACTTGTAAATGCAAACCAAATAACCTGTGTCACAAGCAGTATTTTATTTCATGTATGTGAAAGTACTTTGTTAAAATATAGTGCGGTCTTTGCAAAGGGTTGCCCCTATTTATAAACCATATCTTCATGTAGATAGAGCATTGCTTGGGATAGGTATTTTATTAAAGGAATATGAAGAACAAATGAGTATCTTAAATGATTAGAAAGGAGGGCAGTTGCTCTTGGGCAAGCTTTGTCCCGTCGTTTTAACAATAGATACCAGGGTCTTTTATTTACCAGGCTCTGTGCTAAGTTCTTAGATGAAACTGGAGATGGGGAAAGACCATATAGAACTTGGCCGGATTTTGGGGAGCTCCCAGGCCAGCAGAGTAAACAGACACACTTAAATGTAGTTGGAATAAAATGTGATGAATGTTATGGTAGAGGTATGTACCAGTTGTCATGTGAGACTGACAGAAGTGACTTCCTCAATGAGGAGAAAATATTTTGTTTGGGGTGAGGGTGATCTTCTTATTAGAGCTTTAGAATTGATCTTTGAAGGAATAGATTTTTAAAACATAATAAATATTTATTTGGAAATGTGGAATGTAAAGAATTGAAATAAAATATGGGTTTATGAATAGTATTCTTTCTTAAAAGATAGGAGAACTGGAAGGAATACTAGAAAGTGTAACTTTCCCCCAGGTATAACATGTTTGGATTGTTTTTGAGACTAATAAAATCATAATGAAATAAAAAAGAAGTAAAAATAACAGCCTCTTAATCTGTCAGTGAGAAATTATGCTGGTGTTTGCTACCAAGAGTAGGAAAACATTTGTCATGGAATTTGGGGGGGGCTCCTTTCAAGGAAATTGTCCTTTATTTTGTGAAAGGAAAGCAGTTTGGTCAATATAGTTATGTCTGTCATGGATCTGGGAATAGATCTCAATCTTTGGCTCCTCTAACGTACTTTTTTGAAATTCTTTACATGTAGCTTATTTTTCTCTTTATTTTGAGGAAAATACAAGGGCCATGCCTAGACTGAGTGAAAATGATACTTTTTGGAAAAAAGCCCGAGGGCAGCATTTCTAAAATACAAAAATATACTTTTCTTATTCCAGATAAGGATGACTGGTTTGGATGTCTGCTTAGTAATTTGGGTGAATTTTATTGTACATTTCACCCCCTAGAGTTTTATTAAGATTTGGGAATATTCTAACAGGAAAAAATTATGTTTGGTCTTTCTTTATGTCATATGCCAGTGTATATTCTATAAGGTAAAACTTAAATTTAACTGTAAAAAATAACAGTATGAAAATATTAAAAAGTGGTTTTTTTTTAAATAATCAGGAAAGCCTTCTCCGTAAAGAAAAAGATTATTCGTTTTTGCTATATATAAACATTAACCTCTTATATTTCATAACAAAGGCAAATAACTAGCTAATGAAATACATTTGAATGTATTTGGAAAACAGAATTTTCATATCCTCTATCAAGAACTCTTATAAGATCATAAGAAAAAAGATGATCATCTCAGTAGAAAAATACACAGAGAAAAGTTGGTTCATGAAAAAAAAAGGAAGTAAGCAGATGTTCATTTTTAACCGTGAAAGTGGTATTACTGAAGATAAATAGTACATAGAGACAGTGTAATGCGGTACCACCTTCTTTCTGTACACACTGGTGCTACGCTACTATAGTAGGATGTGCGAACACTACCATCTTTGGTATCCTATTTGTAGCATCTCCACAGACTGGTCACCAGAGATCTTTGTCCCTCTCTTGTCCCACTTCACCACCACGCTAATCAAATCAGTGCAGCTTTTATTTGACTTATTTTATTGAAGTGTAGTTGACATACAAGACAACAATATAATACAATGACCTTTGAACAACGTGGGGGTTAGGGGCACTGACCACCTGCACAGTAGAAAATCCGCGTGTAACTTTTAACTCCTCACCCAAAAACTTAACTACTAAGTGCCTACTCTTTACTGGAAGCCTTACTGATAAACATAAACAGTTGATTAACACATATTTTGTGTTATATTCTTATACAAAAAAAGTAGCTAGAGAATATATTAAGAAAATCATAAGGAATAGAAAATAAATTTACAGTAGTATACCTTGTTGAAAAAATCTGCATGTAAGTGGACCATGCAGTTCAAACACATGTTGTTCAAGGGTCAACTGTCAACTCTTAGTTTCAGGTATACAAAATAACGATTCTCGATGCAGCTTTTAAACAGAAGACACTGTTCATTATCTATTAAATTAATAAGGGAATTGGACACATTCCTGTACCTGGAGCTTCAAAAAGTGTGAAAATTTGTATGCCATTTGAACCTGGGACTCATTTCTACATATTTATTCCAAAGAAATTTGCACAGCTATGTATAAAAAGTTTATTTACTATATCTTTGAAGTTATTTATAATAGGAATAATTTGGAAACATTCTAAAGCAGTCTTTTCCGATAGAACTTTCTGTGATGAGGAAAATGTTCTATATCTGTGCTGTCTACCGGCGTCAATAACCACATATGGTGTTGAGCATTGGAAATGTTGGTATGGTTGTAGAACTGCATGTTAAATTTTATTTACTTTTAATTAATAACTACTTGTGCCTAATGCCTGGACACTGCAATTTTAAACATCCTATGAAAGAGATTTGGTTAAAGAAATTATAGTACCTTCAGATGTCATATACTATGCAGCCATTAAACATTATGTTACAGAATACTTAACATAGATATATGTTATTTCTGTTCTTTCCTTAATGTTTGTTTTTATTTTCTTCTTTTTGTTTTCCTTTATTAGTCTAAATTTGATGATGAACATCTATCACTTTTGAAGTAAGATTAAAAACATTTTTAAAGCAGTTTTATTGGTATTTAACCCATATACCATATAATTCACGCAAAGTATACAATTGAATGGTTTTTAATCTATCCACAGTGTTTTGTAACCATCACCAACATCAATTTTAGAAAATTAACCCCCCAAAGAAATCCTGTGCCATTTAGCTATCACCTACCTATTTGCTGGTTCTTCCACCCCTTGCATCCTTAAACAACCACTAATCTACTCTGTGTCTCTATAGATTTGCCTGTTCTGGACTTTTCATATAATTACATATTATGTGGTCTTTTGTGATTGGCAAAATGTTTTAAAGATTCTTCCATATTGTAGCATGTATCAATATTTGGATTTTTTTAATGCCTGAATAATATTCCATTTTATGGATCTACCACTGTTGTTTATCCATTCATCAGTTGATGACTTTGGAGTTATTTCTACTGGGGTTTTTTTTTCCACTATTATTCCTTTTTTAAAATTGATTTGTAATTGACATACAATATTATATTAGTTTCAGGTATACAACATAGTGATTCTATATTTTTATATATCACCTTGATAGGTCTGGTTACCATCTGTCACTATACAAAGTTATTACAGTATTACTGACTGTATTCCCTATGCTGTGCCTCATATCCCCATGACTTGTTTATTATATAACTGGCAGTTTGTACCTCTTAATCCCTTTCGCCTATTTCTCCCATTCCCCCAACTCCCTCCCTTTTGGCAGCCACGTTTGTTCTGTGTATCTATGAGTCACTTCTGGTTTTGTTTGTTTTGATTTTTAGATTCCACATAGGAGTGAAATTATACAGTATTTGTCTTTCTCTGTCTGACTTATTTCACTTAGCATAATACCCTCTGGGTCCATCTATGTGGTCGCAAATGGCAAAATTTTATTCTTTTTTATGACTGAGTAATAGTCCATTGTATTGTATGCACCACATCTTCTTTATTCATCTGTCAGTAGACACTTAGGATGCTTCCATATCTTGGTGATTGTAAATAATGCTACAGTGAACATAGGGGTACATACATCTTTTTGAATTAGTGTTTTTGTTGTCTTTGGATAAACACCCAGAAGAGGGATTGCTGGGTCATATCGTAATTCTATTTTTAATTTTTTGAGAAATCTCTGTACTGTTTTCTGTAGTGTTGCACCAATTTACATTCCCACCACTAATGTGCAACGGCTCTGATTTCTCCACATCCTTGCTAACACTTGTTACTTCTTGTCTTTTTGAGAATAACCATTCTGACAGGTGTAAACTGGTATCTCATTATGGTTTTGATTTGCATTTCCTTGCTGATTAGTGATATTGAGCATTTTTTCATGTGTCTGTTGGCCATCTTTAGGTCTTCTCTGGAAAAATGTCTGTTCAGGGCCTCTGTATATTTTTTAATTGTGTTATTTGGGGTTTTTTTTTGTTACTGAGTTGTATCAGTTCTTTTATGTGTTTTGGATATCAACTCCTCATCAACTATATCATTTGCAAATATTTCCTCCCATTCAGTAGGTTGCCTTTTCATTTTGTTGATGGTTTCCTTCATGGTGCACAAATATTTTTAAATATAAAGAGGATGTCATCTTCCACATCAAAATCTTAGAATACTGAAAAAAATTAAGTCAATGTTTGAGACTTGCTAGTCTTTGAAATGATGAACAGTAAAGCATTGACAGCATCTTAATTATTAAAAATATAACTTTTTCTCATTAAATAAATGGTATTATAATAGAAAACGGGATAGCTACATGGAAAAGAATGAAATTGGGCCCTTACTTTATATCATATATAAAACTTAGCTCAAAATGCATCACACACTCTAAATTTAGGAACAAAAATTATAATATCCTTAGGAGGAAACAGGGAAAAACCTTCATGACCTTGGATTTGGCAATGGTTTCTTTAGAAGCAGAGGCAACAAAAGAAAAAAATAGATAAAATTGGATTTTATTAAAATTAAAAAACTTGTGTGTCACAGGACT